GAGTAAATCTTGCAGCTGTATAAAGTCTAGAGAGGACATCCGGTTGAAAACACATGCATGTTCACACACACACACACACACACACACACACACACACACACACACACAGACAGACAGAGATACATATATCTTCCCCTTTATTCATTTAACTTTGTTGAACTCTTGTCAAAGCAAAGTAAATGATAACAGCCTCATTTCCATGTAATAAACTCATATTTCAGCTTTCTTATCTTCCCACACTTCCCCTCCTGGGACTTTTATAAATACTTCAGCAGTTATTAATGAGTCTGAAATGAGATTTTTTTTTTCCTATCCTCTTCTGCCATTTTTCTTCCCCCCTCCTCCTCGTTCCCTCCCGTCGCTCAGGTCAGCGCTCGTCTCTGCGATCCCATCGCTGGACGGAGCTGATGGGAAAAAAAAAGTTTTCCTAGAAGGCTTTGAGTTCCAGACGGGATTAAGTGTTTTCTCACTTCAACCTTTACACTGTGTTATCTCCCCTTTAATCCGGCTTTCATCAGAGCAGAGAGTAATAGCTTTGAATGAGTGATTTTTTTTTTTTTTTGTCTGCAGTATCAGATTTTTATTAGCTGGACTGACGTGGAAGGTCAGATCCCATTAAAACTGTCCCGATGTGAGTCTACGTGGAGCGATGTGGGTGAAAGTGCACCGGTGGCTTCGAGCGCACTGGGCTGAGCTACAGCTGGCTGCTTGTGTTGGACGTGCCGGTGTTTGTGAAATAAAAGCTTGTAAGAATGAGAGGAGTCCATTAAGTCTAACACACGAGCTGTCATTATTGGAGGAACAGGGCCTGACGTACGTCCAGAGTCCGCAGATTACAGAGCGCGGATGAAACTGGAGATGTCGGGATGAGAGACAGAAGTCGCTGGATTTAGGAAGTAAGGAGAGGAGAGGGGGGATCGTCGGATGTTTCAGATCTTTCTAATTAGACCAAATTGCTTCCGAATGTTGTCAGGATGTTGGATGGCTCTCTAGTCCGAACCTGCTGCCTCTTGCTCTCACACATGTACGACATACAGATGTTCATGCTCTGACACACATGCTAACCTCTGGACAGATGCTGTTCAAACTTATGCAAACAAAACCCAGAGCACACGCTAAGGCGGTGGAGCAGGTACGTTTTTTTTTTTAGTCACTGTTGTTCTTTAGCTGTGATTCTTGTTCCAACCTTTTGTTTGGCTGCAGCTCGGACAGATGCTGCCTTTTCCTTCAGGCTCGTGTGTGTGTGTGTGTGTGTGTGTGTGTGTGTGTTCACAGACAAGTATGTGCATTCTTGTGTGTCAGAGACAGACAAGAGTGGGCCAGTGTTTGAGAAAGAATGTGTACGCATGTATATTTAATTTAGCACACATGCACACGCTGCTGAACTTGGCTGCCCAGAGTGATGCTGGACGATCCGAGCGTGGGAGAGTCCATTCACTCTCCTCGATGGGACGAAATCAAAGACGGGAGGCTGGAAGAGCGATGATAGCTTTTATTTATTTATTTTGGTCACATTTTTTTTCTCCCTTTTTAATGTTTTCCTCTCTTCTGCTTCTTTGTCCTTTTTAAACACTTTGATTTTAAAGGATTAGCCCATAAACTTTTTGTGTTGTTGCTGTTTCTCACGAATCCCATTTTTCCTTCATTAACCCACAGAGGGGTTTTAGAGGCATCCTATATTTTAAAAATCAACAAAATTACACCATTTGCTAGATCCAGAAACTGTAAAAACAGAAATATTCAGTGGATTGTTTACTATCCCACAGTCCTTGAATGAATCATATGTGACATGTGGTGCCTTCAGGAAAATTAACCAAATCTAAGCTTAAAATCACAATATTTCGTCAACTTTATTCTACATGTCTCATTTGAAAATGTGCCAATTATTAACCATTTCCATTAACCGGATTTAGTGAAAAACAAAAAATTTTGTGCTTCTCCTTGAAACCATGACGCCTTTAATGACTCCACTGCAACCAACAATCATGTGACTAAAATTCTGAGACTTTTCGGTTGAACTGCAGCCAGTGTTTACATAGAAAGGAGAAGAGACAAACCAATTAGAAATCTATTCTGGCATTATAATTTAGTCAAAATGCACAAACAATATTTCTTTCCTTCTATCATGGTTGTGCTGTTTCCATAGAGGTGCAGGATTTTGTATTGTAGTGAAAGATGAGCCCACAGTGAGTAAAAATGGAGCAGGACAGGAGCAAAAAAGAAAGGTTTTAAAGATAGAAACCTACAATAAATGAGCCAACATGCGCTAACTGTGCATGTGACTTATTCCTCCACATTACTGTGATCCAAAAACCATTAAAAGCACATAATTAAGCCTCTCTGCTGCGCTGAGTGACATATTCCTGCATTACAAACACCGAGACCACTGGTCAGTTCCACCAACACGGCGCATGTTTTAACTGGCAATCCCCAGAAATGGCACCATTTACTTCTGCTTCAGCAACTTTAACTTAAAATAACAGTTATAGTTAGTGTTTGAACTATACATATGTGTTTTAAATTGGGACTTCACTCGTAACAAATGCACTTAAATGGATTTCAGATTAGATTTGTTGCCGCCTCATGCTTTCACTCAGTCTAGTGTGAAATGTGAGTTTGTTGCAGAGTAAACAGGGTTCTTGTGTACAAGTGTGTTGTTTTAGAGAACATGAATAACTGCATGTGGTGTCTAGAAGAAGCGAAGACGGAGGATCAAAGAGCAGCTGACAGACAGACAGACAGACAGAGAGTTAAAGTCGGACAGACAGCGAGACCTAAAGTGGGCAAAGACAAATGAAGACAGATGGATGTGAAGACGAGCTGGCTTCAGCCCCAACCTGCACTCTGCATGCTCAGTTTGACCTACTTTCTTCTCTGCTTCTCTTTTTTTTTTTCCTCCCTCTTTCTCTCACTCTTTGCCCCTTCCTCTGTGATCCCCTTTCATATTGCACGAGGAACTAATAAGGACAATAAGTCTGGAGAACGACTCCCAACAGACTCCAGCGCTGGCTCCTATCTTTCCATCTCACTCCGTCCTTCAGCGTTTCTTTCTCTCTCCACATCTCACCGGCGCAGCCTTGGCCAGCCAACCATGCAGCTCTCCTTTCATCTGCACTGTGACAATCTAACAATCTCCTCTTTTTTTTTTCCTTTTTTTCTGTTTAATGAAGGCTATATTAAGTTTGGCGCCACTGCAGAGAACTTAATAAGGGTTTGTCCCTCAAGGGAAGCCATCATTAGGCTGTTTGTGATTGAAAGGACGAACATCGTATTGCTGAAATGGTTTCAGCATGAGGTCATTGTGTCTGATTTGTGAAGTGCATTTAACAAGATTATGCCAGTTTCTCTGGCAGGCAGCAGAGCAGCAGAGGAGGCTCCCGCCGCACGTTTGCATGCGATATCCGAACGAGCGTTTGTGTTTCACCGCCGTTACAATCCTGTCTCCGAAGAGAGAGTTTCACACATCTGTCTTACTTTTGTGAGCTGTTTGTGTCACAAGATGTGATCAGGAATGCGTCTTGTGTGAAGAAGTTTGGTTCTTGTAAAGCCACATAAAAATGCATTGTCTCAACAACGACACACAGACGCATTAACCCTTTGAACCCTGGACAGGTTCTGGGTGTTTTCTTTGCTATTATCACACTTTTTTCTGACTCTGGGCTCTTTTTTCACGACAATATAAAGCCCTCGAAAGAGAGAGAACTCAGAAATGTCTTTTTTTGCAATTACGCTGCCATGAATCATACAAAAACATAAAAGAAAGCTGAATTTATTGGATCATTTATGTTACAAAATTTGTAAAAAAACTGGAGCGTACAGCCTTTTTATGAGTCTAGATGTTACCAACCCTGGAAGAAGTGGTGACTCCACATATTGTAGATATATTTTAGATTTTTTAATTTGTTTGCATCCTCTCTGCTCCGTGTAAACACAGCCTGCAGTTCAGTTGAAACATCCCTAAATGTTTGTCACGTGAACCTAGAGCACAACTAAATGGCTCAGTTGCACCGAGGAGGACAGAATTTTTTGCTTCTTACAGAATTTGGATCATAAATATGATTTTTTTAAAGTGATTTTTGAAATGGGAATGTAAAACAAATTCATCTTAATATTGTTTTGGTGTGTAACAGGTATACAAAGCATTTTATTGCACATTACACCATGTATAACTGTGTTTGTGACCAACAAAGGCCTTGAATCCTTGAATAAAAAGGCCTTGAATCCTTGAATCCTTGAATCCTAAAGTGATTTTGATGAAATATGATGATTTATAGTTTGGCTTTGGTTAAGTTTTCCAACAAAATGACACATTGGTAGAAAGTTAACATACTTTTAAAACCTGCAGGCTGGTTTTGGGCTTCAGAGGGTTAAAACGTTCTGTGAGTGTTTTTGCAGCGTTGGTAGGTGATTGTTATTAATGCAACAGAAGCCTCCAGTGTTAAGGCCACCGTCACCTCCTGGTTAGACCCCTGGAATGTGCGTCAGTATGTCAGTGCGACGGGTTAACACATCACCACATGCATAGCGTTCATTCCAATCCGATTGCTGAGTTCCTGCTGTTGTGCTGTTTAACCTGAGCAGGTTTAATAGGATGACGTCTGAAATCACATGCCTGATCTGTTCCGCTGCTACCAGCTCTCACATTGTTCTTCTTAAGTTCCCGGTAAACTCGGCTACTTGTAAGCGCTCTTCTTCGTAAGTTGGCTTTTGATCCAGAGACTAAACACTTGAGGATGTGTTTAAATGTCCAATGAGTCATCTCTCTGACATCGTCTTCTAATGTGGTGCCAGTTGTTCCCCACATCCAGTCCTGCTTTTGTTGTTAAAAAAAAAAAAACGAGTGAGTGAAATTAGGAATGAAAGAACTGACTCAGAAATTTCTCATTTATGTACTTAATCTGGTTTCGTTTAATGCGGCACCAGATGTTGCTCGAGGAAGTGAATCAGCACTCCGTCATTTAGTCAATCGAACGCTAACGAACTTCTCCCTCCGTCCGCAGACTACAGGACGGGGCCGTGCTTCACCCAGGTGAACAACCAGATGTGCCAGGGCCAGCTCAGCGGCATCGTCTGCACCAAAACCCTCTGCTGCGCCACCATTGGCCGAGCCTGGGGCCACCCCTGCGAGCAGTGTCCCGCCCAGCCGCACCCCTGCAGACGAGGCTTCATCCCCAACATTCGCACCGGAGCCTGCCAAGGTCTGACCTGCTGTACACACACCTGGTGGAGCTTTAGCCGTGATGCAGGAGGACACACACACACATTTATATACTGACATGCGCCACAATAAACACCCCAAACCATCACTTTATCCATCATCATCACAGCTGCAACTCCTGCCCCACAACATCCTCGAACTAGTGTTAACAACTCCGAGGGTGTTTACATGTACACAGTGGGCCGGATACAAGCTTGTGTTTTCCTGTTAAGGTCTTATCCAACGTGCACCGGAGCAGGTTTAGGCGCTGCTGCTGCTGCTGCACAGTCGAGATATGAGTTCATTCCCAGCAAACACAGATTCGGTGCACGTAATGACTGAATGTGAGGGTTTATTGAAACAGAAACCTTTTCCCTGCTGCTTAAAGGCCACTCCAGCACCTTTGCATCTCAATTTCTCTTTGCAGGACGACTGGGAGTCATATTTAGCTTGTAAAAACAGTTGTGTAATGCAAGAGTGACATCATTTGATTTTAGTAATTCTTGTTTTGGCTCATAGACCTCAGATTTTCAACAGAAAGGCAGCGACTACAGACGGAGGATGGATGTGGTTTTTGGAGTTTCGTCCAATTAGAGGCATTTCTCTCAGTGTCTCATTTTTATATCGTTTAAGTACTTTGACCACAAAGCAACTCCAAGGAAACCAGAAAGTGCCGTTAATCCCAGTTGTTTGCAGACAGTTCAAATCAAAACGGTTCCCTTTGTGCCATCGAAAGCAGAAAAATCCCCCCTGATTTGCATAAAGTAGTTTAGACCTCAAATTAATGCAAATTAGGAGCAGGCAACACGACACCCAGTCTGTTTAAATGCACCATGACGCTCCAAAAATGTAACTTACTCTATGGAAAAACGCTGTAAAACCTGGTGCAACTAACTGGTTTTCAACAGCATTTTAGTAGAATTCACCAGAGCACCATGAAAGCAGCGTTACGGAGCTTTTAAGGTTGTAAAAACCAGCGCTCCTTTGTTTTTGACAACATAAACGGCAGCATTATTGTAACTTTTAACGGCGCAAAAAGTGCCGTCGTAATACATCTCATACGAGTGGCATAAAGCGCCTGTTATACCAGCTTTAGACGGTGTAAAAAGTGACATTATGGCAGCTTTAAATGCCCTAAAAAGCAGTGTTTTGGTGGCTTATAAAGCACCATAAAAAGCAGCGTTATGCCAGCTTTAGCCGGCGTACAAAGCGATGCAATGCCAGCTTCTAGTTGTATAAAATGCTGCGCTGGTTTAGGTTTTCTTGATTTAAAAAGTGCTGTTATTATTGCTTTTGACAGTGTAAAAACCTGTGGTCTTTTGGTTTTTGACAACATAAACAGCAGCATTACTCCAGCTTTTGACGGCGTAAAAAGTACCGTCGTAATGCATCTCACACGAGTGGCATAAAGCGCCGTCATACCAGCTTTAGATGGTATAAAAAGTGACATTATGGCAGCTTTAAATGCCCTAAAAAGCAGTGTTTTGGTGGCTTATAAAGCACCATAAAAAGCAGCGTTATGCCAGCTTTAGTCAGCGTAAAAAGCGATGCAATGCCAGCTTTTTGTTGTGTAAAATGCTGCGCTGGTTTAGGTTTTCTTGATACAAAAAGTGCTTATTCCAGCTTTTGAAAAAGCTGTGGTCTTTTGGTTTTGAGTGTAAAAAGCGGCGTCTTTATAAATCTCACCAGAGCACAGTGAAAAGTGGCACTATGTGAGCTTTAGACAGCATAAAAAATGGTGTTACGCCAGCTTTTAGTCGCATAAAACGTATCGCTCCATCAGCTTTTAACAGTGTTAAAAGTGCCGTTATGCCAACTTTTGACAATATAAAAAAAGATTTAGAATTAGAATAAAACTTTATTGATCCCCTCGGTACAAAACCTCAGGGAAATTGCTAAAAAAATAATGATGGTGCTCTTTTGGTTTTTGTAGCGTAAAAAAGCCAAAGTTTACTACATCTTACTAGAGCACCATAAAAGCAGCTTTTGATGCTAAAGAAGCAGCGTGCTTTTGGCTTTTTTTGGTATCACAAGCTTTGTCTTAATACATTTTCTAGAGCGATGTTCTACCATCTATTTACGGCCTTCTGATTTGTTTGCATGCAGACATATTGGAGGTGGGTTTCCTATACGTCTGTAAACACACTATTCATCCTACTTCACTGCTCCTAAACATAGACAGCGCACATATAACAGAATCTAGAGACTAAGAGGTAAATATTAGCGGAGATTCTGCCTCTTTGATCAACATTCCTGCTGCTGGTGTCCCAGAACCCCCTCGGACCGGACCAGACTCTCCGCATGCTTCTCCAATAACCTGCAGCCGTGACCAGACCAGGCAATAAGCTCGCATCAATACGTGACACATGTGGAGGTCGTGTCCCTTGTTAAATGAGTCCAGCCAGGTCCTTTCCTGCCTCCGTCCAGCTCCTCTCTCCCCGATACTCCCAGTGTCACCCTGGGCAGATTGGGAAAGCTGATGTCTCCATGTCGTCATGTTTTCTTTTTTGTCTGAAGTATTTCTGTGCTGATCTCCACACGACCTGGCAACACTTCAACAGTATCGGCGCCGCAGACACCAGGGTCAGGGGTTTGGCTTTTGAGGATTATAGGAGGCAGGTGTTAGATTCTTATGCAATGTGAAGCTACGTTCAGTGGATTCAGGGTGCTAGAACTTTCAAGCAACATCTCAGAGAAAGGAAGAGTTTTAGTTTTTTAATTATTACACTGACAGGATGCATCTGGAGGCTCTATTTTTGTGCTAGCTGTGATGCAGCTAGGCTCAAGCACAAAGCTATTTCTTTTAGTTATTTTCAAGTCTGTGTGCATCAACTTGTTTAATAGTTTTGTTGCACCAAACTAGTTGTGGTTATCAAGTGACAGAGTGCATCAATGGCACTCATTTTAACATGGAATGGTGTCAGGTACAGTGGTAAAGGTGCAGGTACAGTCCTGTCTGAATCAGCTGCTACTGCTACGACATTAAAACCATCTTCCTGTAGGTCAATTTTTTGTGCTGCCAAAGCAACACTGAACCAGGACATTGGACCTCTGGGAGTTTCCTGTAATGTCTGACACCGGGACATTGGCAACGAAGCCTTTAGGTTCTGCTGGTGATCAACAGATCCCACGGATCACTGCTCAGATTGGAACCCTCTGGCGCACTTTGGACCAATCCTGAGCGGTTAACGTGGTGAGGGCTTGGTCTGCAGCGACGTTTACGTGGGTGTTAGTGACATCCACATGAATGCCATAGACTTTACAAACCATGTGAATGTAGCGACCAACTCTGACAGCCAATGCAGAGGTGTCTTGAAGCGCAATACCACTGAGCGCCACTAGGGGAGTGCTCCAAAAAGCTCTGGCACCCATAGACTCCCATTCAAAAGCCACCTTGAAAATCTAAGACAACACATTTTTTTTCAAAAGTCAATATGATTTTTTATGTTAAAGTTCATCCTTCTGATCAGTGCTCTAGCGACACATCTGCAAATAATTCTATAATTAGATCGAAATGAGGCCTCAAAATGTGTTTAGGGTTCAACTGACACGTGTGGTCAGGAGAAATCTCTAATTCTTTAGAACATAACGGACCTCAAAATCATCCTGCTATTGCTCTGACTTGTTAGTGTTTCTTTAAACCGATCGCAGGCGGGGCTAGACGAAGGATGCAGCTTCGATGTTCCTTCAAAACAGCGACAAGTGGAGTTGTTTTGGTG